ATCAGCCTCTGTTCTGTGTTAACTAACTTTAGTGACAAGTGGTTAAATATATACACTACTTTTTCTTTTAAAATGTTATTCTTATCTTTGTGGAATGACACCGGAATATGTGTAAATGTTACATAAATAGGTTTTATGTCATATTAGGAAATATTGCTCTGTTTGAAAATACTGTCTTGGTTTTATAAATAGTCACAAGATATATTAAATCATATTTTTGGTTTTTTATCCTCAATTTAGTTGTATTTTTAAGTTATGGACCTATAACACTTATCACATGATATGCATCAAAAAATTTTTCAAAAGCTACATCTGCTTACATAGTCATTTTACTACATTTTATCAAAGCAAATTAATTTGATAAGTTTTATTATATTAAGAATCTTCTAATTATTTTAATAAAATGACTTCTATTTTGCAGGAATGCTAAAATAAAAGGACAGAGCATAAGTAAGATTTACAAGGAGAAAAGCTGGGTAGTTATTAGTGTATAAAATTTATAAACAAATCCTTCATTTTGAGTTATATTTCTCTAAACATAAAACAAAATGTTGAACTGATAAGAGTAAGTAAAGATCAAGTGTCAGACTGTCAGACAAGAATTAATCACAATTAAGTTGTTTTATAATTATCAGTGCATACCTTGGCATTCAACTCCAGCTTTAGCATGTTGGGAAAAAAGTTCATATTCTGACCTGAAGGTCTGCCAGCATTAGACTTGGCTGACTGTCTAGCTTACATATTAATATAGAATGCGCCTTTGTTTGGCTCAAATCCACGTCCCTTTAAGAACAATGCCAGTTACCTTTCTTGCCAGTTTTTCAGTTGGCAGCTCTGCTTTTTCAGTTATCACTGAAGTGAATGAAACCTAATGAGGCAAAAGAACAGAAGGAATGTCTATTGAAACTGACTTTTTAGGGCTGTCCGGATATTGTTGAAAACATGGGATTTAAGTATCACATTTCAAAAGCTACCTGGAATGTATGTTGCATTTCCTTAATTTTAAGGATTATACAAAGAGTGATATACTGTATTTCTACTATGCTTTGTTCCTTTTTGCAATCTTCAGCTTCCATTACAGTTTTATACCATGACACGTGTTTGTGGTTTTAAAGTGTCTGCTTTTCTTTAGTTTGGCAAAAACAAACTCAATTTACTATAGAATATCCAGGTTCAGATTATTTGTTAGCAAATATTTGAAATATTTTATGCTATCTGGTCATAATCTGTACTTAGAAAATAAAAGTTTTTAAAATATTTATCCCAAATGCCCCAGTCAGTGCCCAAGTGCAGCTTTTTAGATGAGATGTCACATGAAGTAAAATTTAATTTTACTGATGATACATGGTCATAAATATGAAAATCATTGATGTAGTTACATAAATTGGATTAGAGATGTGATCAGGCTAAGAACTGCAAAGTCCACAGGTATATTAAGATAAACTTGGCTTTAGATTGATTAAAATATTTTCTATTATCCATAATTCATGCTCACCTTGCAAATCTAAAGAGCTATCTTCTAACCTACTGAGAAACACATAATTAGAAATTAGAATGTTACCTAATTCCTTATAGGAGTTAATGACAGAGTTTTCTCCTAGAGCTTGAATTTTAATTGGATAGCAAAAAATTACTGCTACAAAATTGATAAAAATGTCAGGTCACAACTTCTTAAGCATGATTTATTAGAATCAGAGAAAGTGTTTTGAAGGACACCGGAACAAAACATACAATATCCTTCCCTTAGCTACATGTTTTTCTGAATTTTCAGTGACCTACAACTCAAAATGAAATAACACATTTCAAATTATATCTTATTTTGAGTAATGGCATGAAACCCTACTGTCTCCTGTGTCTGTGGAGGCTGGGAAGCTTCTTTTGTCTGGAGTACCCAACATTGTATAAACGAATCACCTGTGAGTCACTTTGTACCTGTCCTGATTATAAGATCAACTGTTATGTTATCAGTGTTGGTGTCCCAATCACTGAACGATGCTACATTAAAACTTTCTCTTTTCTTAATTTATTGGTACATTTTAGGTATACAGTGCAGTTACATTCATCATTGGGATCTTGTACCTTCACATGACTTATCTTGGTTGTTATTTTTTCCCCATCACCCTGCCCTGCCTTCACCCCTCCACCCCTCCCTATTTAAAAGAATTCGTTTCCATTTTTTTCCCTTTTCATATTTTTTTTCTTTTCCCTTCTTATCTTTCCCCTACCTCTCCCACTTCCCCTATACCTTTTCTTCCTATTGCACAATATCAATTATACATTTTGATCCTTATTTACACTTTTATTTTTTCACACCAGAGAACCTATTTGGTATTTACACGTGTGTCCTATTTATTTCACTTAAGAGTGTGGCTTCAGTGTGCAGCCATTTTCCTATGAATGGCTCTAGTTTCCCCTTCTTCGTGGCAGAGTAGTACTCCATTTTATAGAAAAATTAGACCTTCTTTATCCAGTCTCTATCCAGTCTTTATCTAGTTGGGGTGAATTTTTAAATTAAAAGAACTCTGTGAATTAAACCGTTCTCATTATTCTCTTGTATACTTTCTTTCTGACAAACACACAAACTCATATTCCCTTTTCTGTTGCTTGACTGATTTTAAACTACCAAGGAAGTTTGTGAATTGTATAGTAACCAAAAGAGACTACTGTAAGTTTCTTGACATAATTAAAGCTTTTTTTGGGGGGTGGGTATGGGGAATTGAACTCGGGTCCTTGCCTTGCAAGGCAGGCCACCGACCGCTGAGCTAAATCCCTGGCCCATTAAAGCTTTTTATGATCCATGATGTGACTTATTTTCTTAATATTGACCCTTTTCCCTTATGATTAAAAATGATATTTTCTCATTAAAATGAGGCCAAGCAATGCAAAATTAATGTACTATCATATCAAAATAAGCTTTGGTAATATGAAGTAATTATCAATTTAAGGGAAGTCTGTAGACATATATGCAAATAGATAAAGAAATAGCTATAGTTCTTAGCTGTTTAATTAGAAAGACAAATGTGCTTGTTAAAATAAATCATAATATGTATGCTATATTTCATTAAAATAATTAAATATTATTTTGTTTTATTTATGTAAAGAGCAAACTAGAAGTGAAATAATCGATTTGTTACAGATAACATTTTTTCAGTTAAGATTAAAAGGAAAATTGAGAATATATTAGTAAATTAAAATCATTTTTAAAATTGTATTGATATATTTCAGCTTTATAGAAGCATCATTGACAAAAGCATTATGTGTTCAAGGGATATTTGATAATTTCACATATATAAACACTGTGAAATGTTTGCCACAGTCAACAACATTAGCACACCATTATCTTATGTAATTACCACTCTGTATGTACATTTGGTGAGAACATTCAAATCTATCCTCTTAGTAAATATCAATAAGAATGCAGTAGTAGTAAATGTAATTTCCATGATTTATACTAGATCATCAGAACTTATCAATATTATAACTCAAACTTTGAACCCATTTTCCAATATCTCTCTCCTCCTTACATACTAGATCCTCACAACTATAATTGTACTGTTTGCTTTTTGGTTTTTTAGAGCCCACAAATACCAACATATATAATATTGCGGAATAGGAAGAAAAAGTTCAAAGGTGAAGGGGATCTAGGGGGAGGGTGATGGAAAGGAAAGAAGTGAAAGGAAAAAATGAGAAAAGAAGGAAAAACGGAAACAAAAGCTTTTGTGAATAGGGAGAGGTGGAGGAGTGGTAGGAAGGGCAAGGGAATGGGAAAAGCAAGAACCAGTATGTATCGTGTACAGGTACAAATTTCTAATGATGAGTGAGACCACAATGTATGCCTAAAATGAACCAATGAAGTTAATGAATAAAAACAGAGTCGGTAAGTAAATAAGACTACAGTGTTTTTTGTTCTATTCTTGGTTTCATACAGAATAATATCCTCAGGGTTCATCAATATTGTTGCAAAAGACATTTTCCTCTTTCGTGGCTGAATAATAATATGTATATATAAAAATCTTTTCATCCATACATCCGTCAGTGGCTACTTATTTTTCTCTCCATGTTGCAGCAATTGTGAATAATACTATATTGATCAGGGGAATGGAGACATTTCTTTGGCATATCAATTTCATTCACTCTGGATATATACCTACAGCAGTAGTTATTGGACCATATGGCTGTTCTATTTTTAGTTTAATTTTTCAGGAAAATCTACATTGTTCTTCACAATTTCTGGACCGATTTCTATTTATGGTAACAACATGCAAGTGTTTCCTTTTCCACCTGCCTTTACCAATATTTGTCTTTTTGTCTGTAGCTATCCTAATGAATGTCTATAACTATCCTAATGAATGGATATGCATTATGGTTTTCACTTCAATTTCCTTCATGCTTAGTGATGGTAGGTGCCTATTTATGTATCTGTTGCAATTTTTATGTCTTCCTAGAAAGAAAAAAGTGGATGTTCTTACCATTTTTAGATAGGGCTATTATTTGTTTACTATCGACTCATGTATTTCAAATATATTTTGGATATTAACCTCCGTTAGATACTTGCTTTGCAAATATTTTCCCCCTTTTCACAGTTTCTTTTTCATTTGTTAGTTGTTTCTACAAATGCAAAGAAGGTTTTTAGTTTCATATACTGCTGTTTGCTTATTTTTCTTTTTGATACTGAGCTTTTAGTTTAATAATTGTCCAGCCTAGTGTCATGAAGATTTTTGCCTATATTTTTCTCCATTAAAATTTTAAGAACTTTATGCTTAGGACTGTTATAGTTGATTTTTAAATTCGTTTTGTTTTACTCTCTGTGTATGATATTAGTCAAACTACATTCTGTTTTATATGTATGTCTGGTTCTCCCAATAACATTTATTAGAGACTAGCCCTTCACCATTGTGTAGTTTCTGTGTTTTTGTCAAATATTAGTTTAAAATTACTCATGTGTTTATTGCTGGGCTCTCTGTTCTGATTTTTTAATCTTTGTTTTTGTTTTATGACAGTGGAAAATTATTTCAAACATTGAGCTTTGCAATACAGCTTTGAATCAAGAAGTGCGATGCAACCAGGTTGGTTCTTCATTGACAGGAATTCTTTGGCTTCTGGAAATATTTTATGCTTATATAAAAAACTTAGGATAGCTTTTTCTATTTCTATGAAACAGTCTCATTGGAGTTTTGATAGGAATTTCATGAATTTTTAGATCACTTTTGATAGTATGCACATTTTAATAATATTATTTTTTTCAATCTAAGCTCGCAGTGAATCTCTCTATGTATTTGTGTTTTCTTCAGTTTATTTCATTAAGATTTTATGATCTCAGTGTTTATATTTAAACTCCTTGGTAATACTTGTTTTTTATCTGTTGCTATTTTAAATGAGAGTCTTGATCTTTTTTTTTAGACTATATTATCACTGCAAAGACACATGACTGATTTAGTATGTTAATTATCCTAAAACTTCACTAAATTTGTTAACAAATTTTAAGAGCTTTTTTATAGTCTTTAGAGGTTTTTTTAAATATATAAGATCATGTCATTTATAAACAGGTATAATTAAATTCTTCTTTTGCAATGTGGATGTTTGTTACTTGCTCTTGCCTGTTTACTCTGGCTAGCACCTCAAGTACTATGTTCACCATCAGCGATAAAATTAGTGCTGTTTTTTTGTTTTTGATCTTGAAGTGCTTTCAATTTCTGTATTAAGTGTGATTTCAGCTGTGTTTTTGCCATGAATGGCATTTATTATGTTGAGATACATTCCTTGTATACCTAATTATCTAGATTTTTGGGTCTTTTTGGTGAAAGTATGTTAAAAGTTTGTCAGGTCTTTTCTGCATCTTTTTGAAAGGATCATATGCTTTCTGTCCTTATTTTTTAAATTTCTATTTAATTTTTATTTTTTTGGTACCAGGGATTAAATTCGGGACCTTGTGCTTATGAGAAAGGCAGGGGAACCACTGAGCTAAATCCCCAGCCACTGTCTTTATTTTCTTAATGTGGCCTATCACATTTATTAATCTGTGTGTATTTAATCATCCTTGAGTCACAGGTATAAATCCCACTTGGTTATGAAGTGAAACTATTTGAATAATTACTGTTTTGTTAAGGATTTTTAGATTTATTTTTGTTATGGATGTTGGCTTTACATTTTCTTTTTTGGTATTGTCCCTATGTGGCTATAACATAAGGGTATTTTGAGATTTGTAAGATGATCTTTAAATTTTTCTTACTCTTTTAGTTTAAGAGATAGTTTGAGAAGGTTTATCATTCTTTAAATGCTAGGTAGGATTCACTGGTGAAGCTATTCAATCTTTAACTTTACTTATTGAAAGATTTATTATTGTTTTGATCTTACTATCTGTCGTTGGTCTGTTCATATTTTCTATTTCTTTATGATTCAGTGTGGAGAGACTTATTCTTCTTGGAGTTTATTCATTTCTTCCAGATTATCTAGTTTGTTGGCATATAATTGTTCATAGTAGTCTTTAATGATCCCTTGTATTTTTGTGGCGCCAGTTAGAATGCCTCCTCTTTTTTTTAATTTTATTGTAATTGAGTCCACATTCTGTCTTTTTATTGGTTTTTCACTTATGTTTATATATTTTACAAAGCCTAATTTTACTTTTGCTGATCTTTTCTTTCTAATCTTCATTTCTTTTATGTCTTTATTCTTTATTATTTTATTCCTTCAGCTAGAGTAGGCCTTATTCTCTGACATATCAAGTTAAGTTGTTTATTTGAAATCCTTCTTTTTATCTCACATTTATCTCCAATTTAAGTCTATTTGTACGTTCTTTGTATATCTCCATGTGTTGTTGTTTCTTTTCAACATAATATTATACTCCAATAGCTTATTGGATTGTCATTATTTTGCTCTTTAGACTGTAATAGCATAGATTTTCACCAAGACAGTTATTCACTCTTAGACGTGTCTCAGCCTCTTCTAGTAAGAAACCATAAGGCACTATGTACACTCAATTAAATGACTTTTAACTATCAATATATGTGCTGCATGAAATAAAATTCCCCAGTAGGTTTTTTTAAAAGTTGGCAATACTCTGGGTGTTGTATCACAATGAGCCTAAAATGGTACAGCTAAACAAAAACAATCTTAAGGGAAGGAAAAGAAAAACACACTGTTAGAATTATTGTTGCAGCTTTAAACACAAGGTATTTCCTATAAATAGGCAAGACAAAAATGCATATTTTCAGTGTATCAATAATTGTAAATTACTTAATATTCCCTACATTGTCCATGTAAACTAAAACATTTGAATACATACAAAGTATAGCATTTTCATGCAATATTTTAAAACTGTTAAATATTCCTTTCTCTCCCTAAGAACACGTAAGGATAGAAACACATTGTGTTTTTCAGATTTCAGCTAAACTAATTTGATTTTTTTCCTTTCTCTTTTTCTTCCTTTTTTCTTAATGTATTCGACAGTGACCCTTTTAGATGATAAATAAGTTGAAAAATATGTGCCTATGGGGTGTTTCATTGGGAGATATGCATGTTTTTGGATATTTTGTTAGATTGTATGTTCATGTTGGTGAGAATGTGGGTGTCATCTGTGTTGTATCTTATTCAAATCTCCCCAGAGAAATTGAGTCAAAAGGACAGACAGGTGGGAAGACAGACAAGAGATTATAATTCTAGGAACTGTTTCACAAGATCACAGGATTGGCAAGTCCAATATGTCTAAGGCAGGACAGTAGCCTGAAAATTCTGGTAAGAGTTGATATTACACTCATGAGTCTGAAATCCATGGTGAAGACCAGAGGCAGGAAACCCAGGGAGGATTTATCTCTTGTGATCTTCAAGCAGAGTTCCTTCTCCTTTAGCAAACTCAGTCATTGTCCTTAAGGCTTTTAACTAATTTAATGAGTACTTGTACAATGTAAACAATTTGTTTTGCCGAAAGTGTACTGAATTTAAATACTGATCATGTTTAAAAAAATATATTCTCATAGCAACATCTACAGTGGTGTTTGACCAGCTAATGATCACCATTGCCTAGAAAAGTTAAAAATAAAATGAATTGTGATAATTTGTATAACTGTGCCTGAATGTTAATGTGCTCTTTAGATAGTTGATTTAACTTTTCTGAAAATACTTCCCATTGGTAGCACATGGTTAATGATAAAAGTCATAGGATTGTTGAAAGAACTAAATGAGAAACCACGTGCAAGCAATTTATAAAAAAATTTTTATACTTAAATAATACCTCCTGATAACTAATTCATAAATAAATTTTATACTTAAATAATACCTCTCTATCAGTGCCCTTTTTCCTGTATTATACAGAACTACCACTCATTAACTGTATAATCCTGGTAGTTTCTCCCTTATGAGTCTTTTTTTTAATTTGCAAGATGTAGAATTAAAAAAATGGAGGGCCGGGGATTTAGCTCAGCGGTTTGGTGGCCTGCCTTGCAAGTGCGAGGACGCGAGTTCAATCTCCCGTACCCCCCAAAAAAAGGAAGATCCTGAGCTATCTTCCAAGTGTAATATGTCTTCATCGGTGGTATCACTTCAGTGACAGTTTTTTCTCACACCATTCATAAAACACCTGACATATCTCTATTTTTGTCTCTTAACAAACATAATGTTGTGTCACTAATTATCAAGCAAAAGAAGGTTTTAGTTTTTCTATTGTTGGCAGTACTTCCAGGCTAAACCACCCACGTTTTTTTTGTCTGGTTGCTCTGGTGACCAAAGTCATATTCCTAGGAAATGAGGTCAGTACTCAGAAATCACAGTTTTTATTTCAGCACAAATGTACTAACCTGGATTAGAACTAAATGGCATATTAGTTCCTCAGGGTAGTATGCACATGGGCATAGATCATGAACAGTAGGACAGAAAGCTAAATCTTTCATAACAGTTATACTTTAAATGCAATTGTTTTGTTTCACTGTTTTAAACATAACTGTATAATCTCTATATGCATGCATTTAAATAAAATTGGCATTTAAAATAGACATGTTACAAACATTTACATGATCCCAATCTACATATTTCATTGATTATTTATGCTCAGATTTAATTCAAGTCTGACCAGTCTGCTGTGACTGATTCAGATGGGCAGTAATGGAATATCATTGCCAAAGCATCTCCAGGGTTTTCTAAGCCTGTTCCAAATCTATCTCTCTATGTTATCAGCCAACAGGGATATCAGCTGTGCAACTAGGTTTTTCATGAGCCCACCGTGGCATTCAGATAAAGAACTGGAACACAAAAGGACTTTAGAAATATAGATACTTCAAAAGCAGTAAAAAAATAAATCTATAAACAAGCTCGCATTTCTTAAATTGTAAGCATTTTCAGCCTAAGTATTTACACCCACCCAAATGAGCATGCAAATGACCAGTCTTGAACTGTTTTACTGTTTTGTTTTGATCTCTTTCCCCAGCCAATGTAAATCAAGGTACCTGTCTTAGATTTGAAGTCCTCATGGAATTTCCTTATACTATGACATTTCTCTCTTAATGAAATCCACTGAGATATTTAATGAGAGCTTTATGATAATATAGCCCCTGTACTCTTCAGTGGAAAGCCTACTTAATTGCATATATCTGCTTTCAAATATAATTTGTGCCCAGAACTGCAAACATGTCTGTTGACATATAGAGTTCAGGATACTTTTCTCTTGGGTGATTTAACTTTTAAAATTGATGCTGTATTCCCAAAATTCTGTTTTGTTTTGTTTTTAACCAGGCACTTTGTTTCACAATGGTACAATGTATGGTTCACATACACACTGAAAACTTGTGTGCAGACCAAATCTCTGCTCAGAATTGCTTACAAAGATGCTCCCATAATGAAGCAAATATCACACTGCTAATCACTGGTGAAACTGGAGGAAAATGACTAGAAATCATGCAGTACTACTCCTTTGTGCCTTTATCATGACATTAGTGTTCCTTTTGAAATGTATTTGATATCTGAGCTGCATGAATTATTTCAAATGTTGAAAATTGGTTTTGCTACCAATTCATAACCTTATTATTTTATATTCCCATATCTCAAAAGATACATTCTTAAGAATACAAAAAAATTCAAAG